CTTGTTTTGCTTTGCTTGACTGGTCTTGTGACCCCTTGTTCTCCCCCACTTTGCCTATGGGGGTGTGTCAGATTATTATAGCTGATGCATGTTTGTAGGCTATAGTGGGGTAGCACATATGGGGTACAGTTTGCTAGGTCTGTATTTGTACCCAACTCTGACTTAGTCAATTCATTCCTCTGCTCATAGTTTCACAGGCACCGTCGTATTTCGTGGAGGTGCCCCAGTCTCGCACGTGGGACGCGTGGTGCGCAGGTCTGCTTGCTCGTTTCGAGCCAATCGCGGCTTCGATCGCGGCGCGAGAGAAGCTCCGCACTTGGCGCCAACCCGGTTCCGTCCAAGATTACAGGAGCGGATTTCAGGCACTATGCGAGCAGGTGGGATATATGCACGAGAGTGAGCGCATCGACCGCTACATCGGCAGCCTGAAGCAGGACATCGCTCAGGAAATCTAGCTTCGCGGCGTCACCGACTTTCAAAAAATTCTCGCTATAGCGGAGAAACTTGATTTCGTCCGCCGACCGAGACCGGGGTCCTACGGAAGCAGCCATTGGGGACATCGGTCTCGTGGGACGAATGAGAGCGCCACGATACGTGCCGTTGCCGCAAATGCCGCTGCCGCACCATTTAAAGGGCGCTGCTTTGCGTGCAATCAGCCGGGACATCGCAAGAGCGAATGCCCGGAAAACGCTAAGGGAAGGGGGAAGCTGAGCAGCAGAAACAGACCAAGCAGCAGGGAAACGCTGGGAGTCAGTAGCAGTCAGGCCCTCTACTGACAGGTAACGCCGCTCGCCCGACCCAACCGACCCTCACCGAGTGATTGTGCCGGTTCACGTAATCGACCACACCCGGCCGAATAAGGAGGGTACTACGGTACACAGCCCCATACTACTTAGTGGGAAAATTGGGACGGACTTAGTAAAAATCTTCGTAGACGGGGGAGCCAGCCACAGCCTTATGAACACTGCCACAGCACGAAAACTGCGACTGCCACTGGACAGATGTTTACCTGAAATCGACGCAAGACTGGTAGACGGCACGCCGCTGGCGATACGGGAACGCGTAGACCGGGTTCGGATACGATGCTTGGGTAACTTCACGTTTAGCCAGGAAATGCTCGCAACGTCCCTCGACGGAACCGATATTCTACTCGGGCGTGATTGGCTGCAACGACACAATCCGCGAATCGACTGGACGACGGGTGACTGCATCGTGCGAGTGAACGGCAATAACATCGCCCTACCTCGCTGGGGCTCGCCCGAGTCTTCGTTGGTGCGTGTCAACGCGATCACGATGAAACGCGCCGCAGCGGCAGGAGCTGACGTGTACGCGGTCGACATTCCGGAAGCCGAGGCAGCAGACAAAGGAGGGGATTTACAGATCTGCCGTACCGAGTGACCGGGCAGCATTGTTGAAGCAGTACAGTAACATCTTCCCGGGCGACCTATCGACGGGATTGCCAGCTAAACGACCACAGAATAGAACTAGAACCAGGGGCACAGCCGACAGTACAGCGACAATTTCGACTGACCCAACCCGAACTGGACGAACTGAGGAAGCAGCTCGATTACCTACTCGAAAAGGAATTCATTCGCCCTAGTTCGTCGCCCTTCGCAGTACCGATACTGTTCACACCGAAAAAAGACGGGGGATTTCGCATGTGCATAGATTACAGAGCACTGAATAGGGTTACCATCAAATCCCGTTACCCCATCCCACGAGCCGACGAACTGATCGACCAACTGCGCACAACCCGGGTTTTCTCGAAAATCGATCTCAGAGGAGGTTACCACCAGATTCGTGTCAATCCGCCCGACTGCCCTAAGACCGCATTTCGTACACGCTACGGATCCTTCGAATACACCGTCATGCCCTTCGGACTGACCAACGCCCCCGCCACTTTTCAAATGACCATGAACGAAGATTTCCGCCCGCTCCTAGATAAGTGCGTCATAGTATATCTGGACGACATACTGATTTACATACAGGACATTGAAGAAATTTCTAAAATACTGAGTGAGAACCGCCTACTGACAAAAGCATCTAAGTGTGAGTTTTTACAGGACCGCCTGGAGTTACTAGGACACGTTATTTCAGCTGCAGGAGTAGAAATAGACCTGAAGAAAATTGCGACGATTCAAGCATGGCACGCGTCGACCAACTTGACCTAGTTGCAGAGCTTTTTGGGGTACATCAACTACGTGCGCCGGTTCGTCCCCGACATGGCGAAGCTGACTGCCCCGTTGATCGACCTGTTGAGGAAGGGGGTTGAGTACATGTGGGGGGAGAAAGAGCAAGCTGCCTTCTCGGCCCTCAAAAACATTTTGTGCTCACCGCCCGTGCTTCACATCGCAGATCCGCACCGTCCGTTCGAGCTCGTCACCGACGCAAGTGACATCGCTGTGGGAGCAGTACTGTTGCAGGACTTCGGGAACGGCCTCCACTCAATCGCGTACGAGTCCCACAAGCGGCACCCGCCCGAACGCAACTACCCAATACACGACCGCGAAATGCTGGCGATCGTGCACGCGTTCAAGGTTTGGCGGTGTTACCTGACTGGCGGCGACGTGACAGTACGGACAGACCACGGATCAGTACAGTACCTGCGCGCCCAACCAAATCTCAATCTGCGACAGATTCGCTAGTTGGACTACATCGAGTCCAACTTCCACTACACGGTTACGTACAAAAAAGGCGCCTCCAATATCGCCGACGCACTCACCCGCCCTACCGCCCAACTCCATGCCATCCTACTCGCCCAAACCAACCCGCTTTTAACAAGCCTATTCACCCACGGATACCGCACCGACTCATTCTTCACGACCGGAAATTCACAGCAACTGGCAGAAGCTAAAGGAGTTTATTACGTAAAAACAGGCACCAACCGCATCTGGTTACCCGCGTACTCACTACTGAGGGAGCTTCTACTGCAGGAGGCACATGACGGAATTACCTCGGGACATTTTGGGGTAGAAAAAACGCGACACCAACTATAGCGGTATTACTACTGGCCGGAGCTGTTGACCGACGTATAGCAGCACGTGGGCTCGTGCCCCACGTGTCAGGTGATGAAGAGCTCGAGGAAGCGGAAGGCAGGTCAATTGCAGCCAATACCACCGCCCGAGCGCGCTTGGCAGCAGGTTACCATGGACTTCGTCACAGGGTTACCTTCGAACCGTGGGGGTAACGACACGGTGATGGTCGTCGTTGACAGGTTGACGAAGATGGCACACTTCGCTGCGTGCAAAAAGTCGATCTCAGCCGAGGAGACCGCTCGCCTGTTCATCGCAGCCGTTGTTCGCCTGCACAGGATACCAGCAGCGATTATCAGCGACAGGGACACGAAGTTCACCAGCAACTTTTGGAAGAACCTCTAGGAGCAGTTCGGGACCAGGCTACAGTTCAGTTCGTAGTACCACCCTGAGACCGACGGTCAAACGGAGTGGACGAATCAGACGATGGAGCAGTTGATTCGTGCCATGTGCGATGACCCCACGACTTGGGAGCAGCACCAGCTGCTGATCGAGTTCGCGTACATCAACGACACGTCAGCGACGACGCAGCAGTCCCCCTTCTATCTGAACTACGGGCAAAACCCTACAGTGCCCATGACGCCGAGCCCGGACAACCCAACACCACGTGCACAACAATTCGCCAAAATTCTACAAGCTGCCCGCACCAGAGCCGAAGAAGCAATTAAAAAGGCAAACATCATCGCCAAGCGCAATGTTGACCGCCACCGCCGTCCAGTCACATACCAGTCAGGGGATTACGTACTACTCGACACGCAAAATCTGCGATTGCCCGACGTACCGAAACTTCGACCGCGCTACTGTGGCCCATTCCAAATCAGCCACATGATCACGCCAGTAACCGCGCACCTACGGTTACCGACCGACTGGTACATCAGCCCATCGTTCCACGTCAGCCTACTTCGCCCGTACATCGCAACCACCAGCCAACTGCCTCGTCACTGCCCGCATTCCATGACTCGCCCTGCATCGGAGCCGATCAACGAGCCTGAAAATATTCTAAGCCACCGGATTCACCACCCCACGGGAATCAGGAGGATTGAATCCCTCGTTCGCTGGAAGGACCGCACGCCAACCGAAGATAGCTGGGTGCCCCTGGCCAACATCGAAAAACACCCTGCCCTGCAAGTGTACCTAAGGAGCCGGGGATTCCGTGATATACACGCACTCGCGTAGCGGAGGGGGCTTCTTGTGGGGGGGGGGTAGTGTAAGGAATTTTCTCGGCATTCCTTACGGAGCCCGACTACATCGCGTACAGCAACAGCCGTTATTCGTCCGTTACTGCTAACGGGACTTCGCCAACCTCGCGCGCACTGTTTTGCCAAACCTCGCACTGCTGGCCCGGCCGTGTCGGCCTACGCTTCGGGACTAGCCCGAGCCTCGCTGCCAGCATAGCACTAGCTAGCTCGCACGCACCGCGTTACCGTTTGCATGTTTAGCGTACTAAATGTTCGCTCATGCCTTCGCTCACATCTTTGTACTCGTTTGACACCTTAGAGCAATTCTAGCTACTTCGATTCATTGCACCCGTAACAGATATAAACGTGTGAAATGATGGGGAACAGAGGGACTCAAAAAGGTGTATTGCGACATGATGTCAACGACAGTAACCACGCCACAACCGGTCTTAAAAGCGTTGGGATTGACAATGATCGCGAGATGGAATAACTCTCTTGCGAAAACGTCGGCGAATTCCGCGCGCATCGCGCCTTCCATAATTCAATCTACAGCGTGGCAGGTGTTGCGATTGGTGCCCAAGCAATGCATTATCGGAATTGCATTATCGTCAACGAAATGGAATTATTGGGGCACTCCCATAATTCACGAACCGCACATGTGGTGCTCCAGAACTTCTGCCGATGCATCGAAACCTCGCAAATCTGCACATATATTTCGAAAGAACCTAGGATCAGTTAGCTTACTGTCCTCGCCATTAGTGATCCCGAGCTACTCAGCGAGTTTGTCACTATGTTGCTGGGATTCCTTTTCGTGCTAATTTTGTCTTGCGAACCGATCGGCAGCGAAGGAGCTTGGGGTCGGCGACTTCTCAGCGATCATGACGAGAGCGATCGACGTAAGATGAGTTCATGCCGAGAAGACAACGAATACGTTGGCCTGGCAGATGCGTATTTATGTTCTTTCAAACAAAGTTTCTTCCCGACGCATCATAGCGTCAAAGAAAGTTTCTTGCCGACGCATCATAGCTTCAATTGACGTTCTTGCTGACGCATCATAGCGTCAAAATGAAGTTTCTTGCCCACACATCATAACGTCAAAGGAAGTTTCTTTCCGACGCGTAATAGCGTCAAAGTAAGTTTCTTGCCGCACATCATACCGTCCCAATCTGTGGCGCTTCCATCGCCCCGATCTGTGATGAACACAGATGGATGGGACTTGATCACAGGTGGGACTTGCTTGAAGCTCCAAAGTTTTCCTAATCACATCTCCTCGCAATTCTCTCCCCAATCGCCCTCACAGCCGGACTCGTAACCCGACCTTTGTTTGCGCCTGGATCCTCTGGCGACTCGGGCATTCCGCTGCGCGCCTCGGATGCTCCACTCCAACGCAAACTGCAGCAGCAGAGGCAGAACAATCAGTTGTCGTGGCCGAAGCTGGAGTCGTTAACGTTAACGAAGAAGCAGACGGAAAATCCGTGGAAGCAGACGAAGAACCCGTGGAGGCGGACAGGAAATCAGTGGACGTGGCAGCAACAGCGGAAGAAGCGGCAGCAACAGCGGAATAAGCAGCAGGACCAGGAGAAGAAACAGGGGGCGGTGACGAAGCAACCGGACGCGGTGACGAAGCAGCCAGACGAGGTGACGAAGCAGCCGGACGAGGTGACGAAGCAGCCGGACGTGACGACGAAGCAACCGGACGCGGTGACGAAGCAGCCCAGGGAGGTGACGCAGCAACCGGACGTGGTGACGAAGCAGCCGAACGTGGTGACGAAGCAGCCGGACGAGGTGACGAAGCAGCCGGACGAGGTGACGAAGCAGCCGGACGAGGTGACGAAGCAGCCGGACGAGGTGACGACGCAGCCGGACGAGGTGACGACGCAGCCGGACGAGGTGATGACGCAGCCGGACGAGGTGACGACGCAGCCGGACGAGGTGACGACGCAGCCGGACGAGGTGACGACGCAGCCGGACAAGGTGACGACGCAGCCGGACGAGGTGACGACGCAGCCGGACGAGGTGACGACGCAGCCGGACGAGGTGACGACGCAGCCGGACGAGGTGACGACGCAGCCGGACGAGGTGACGACGCAGCCGGACGAGGTGACGACGCAGCCGGACGAGGTGACGACGCAGCCGGACGAGGTGACGACGCAGCCGGACGAGGTGACGACGCAGCCGGACGAGGTGACGACGCAGCCGGACGAGGTGACGACGCAGCCGGACGAGGTGACGACGCAGCCGGACGAGGTGACGACGCAGCCGGACGAGGTGACGACGCAGCCGGACGAGGTGACGACGCAGCCGGACGAGGTGACGACGCAGCCGGACGAGGTGACGACGCAGCCGGACGAGGTGACGACGCAGCCGGACGAGGTGACGACGCAGCCGGACGAGGTGACGACGCAGCCGGACGAGGTGACGACGCAGCCGGACGAGGTGACGACGCAGCCGGACGAGGTGACGACGCAGCCGGACGAGGTGACGACGCAGCCGGACGAGGTGACGACGCAGCCGGACGAGGTGACGACGCAGCCGGACGAGGTGACGACGCAGCCGGACGAGGTGACGACGCAGCCGGACGAGGTGACGACGCAGCCGGACGAGGTGACGACGCAGCCGGACGAGGTGACGACGCAGCCGGACGAGGTGACGACGCAGCCGGACGAGGTGACGACGCAGCCGGACGAGGTGACGACGCAGCCGGACGAGGTGACGACGCAGCCGGACGAGGTGACGACGCAGCCGGACGAGGTGACGACGCAGCCGGACGAGGTGACGACGCAGCCGGACGAGGTGACGACGCAGCCAGACGAGGTGACGACGCAGCCGGACGAGGTGACGACGCAGCCGGACAAGGTGACGACGCAGCCGGACGAGGTGACGACGCAGCCGGACGAGGTGACGACGCAGCCGGACGAGGTGACGACGCAGCCGGACGAGGTGACGACGCAGCTGGACGAGGAGACGACGCAGGAGGGGACGGAGAAGGCGCAGCGGGGGACGGAGAAGGCGCAGGGGGGGACGGAGAAGGCGCAGGGGGGGACGGAGAAGGCGCAGGGGGGGGCGGAGAAGGCGCAGGGGGGGACGGAGAAGGCGCAGGGGGTGGCGGCGCAGGAGGGGGCGGAGAAGCAGCCGACGGAGGCGGAGAAGAGGCTGCAGGAGGAAGAAGAAAAGAGGAAGAAGCAGCAGGAGATGAGCAAGCTTCAACAGGAGGCGTCATACAAGGCTATGTTGGCATATAAGGAGAATGAGCGGCAGAGGCAGGAGAAGGTGAAGCAGCAGCAGGAGCAGGAAAGGCTGGAGCAGGAGCGACCCGAGTTGAAGCAGCAGCGGCTTGACAAGGAGAAGGAGATGAGCCGGCTTCAACAGGAGGCGTCAGTGAAGGCCTACCGGGAATACCAAGAAAGGCAGCGACAGGAGGAGCTGCAGAAGCAGCAGGGACAGCCAGGACGGAGCATGATGGGCTGCGTCCGCCAGGAAAAGAATTGCACCGCGGGCATGTGCAAGGATGGGGAGACGTGCAAGCCTTTGAACACGTGCAGGGGGTATATCTGCCTGGTAGATCGTTCTAACCTGCAGACTAAGACGCCCAGGAAGAAAGTGGATAAGATCAGTAAGAGCCCCGAGCAGGGGTCCTTGGCTCCGGAGGAAGAGAAGAGGACGATTGGAAAGCCCGTGGAGGGGAGTGATAAGGGAAAGAGGAGCAATGGGAAGGTACTATGGCAGTCAAGCCCATAGAGACGCCTCGCAGGGAGTGTGAGAATGAGTGTTTATGGTGGGGAGTGTGAGGAAGGGGGGTTGGTTTTAGGGTGGTTTTGCTTGCTTTAGTAAGGTGCAAGTTTGCTGACTTTTAGGGTGGTTTTAGAGTTGTATTGTGACACTTTATCAAAATTTCCATAATCTTGCAACAGTAATGATAAACCAAGTTGCGAGTCATCTTTCCAATTCGTCGTTCCCCTAGGAATGTAAGGAATTTTCTCGATATTCCTTAGCGCACCCTGCAACACCGCGTACAGCAACAGCCGTTGTTCGCCCGTTACTGCTAACGGGGCTTCGCCGACTTCGCGCGCACTGTTTTCCCAAACCTCGCACTACTGGACCGGCCGTGTCGGCCTACGCTTCGGGACTAGCCCGAGCCTCGCTTCCAGCGTAGCACTAGCTAGCTCGCATGCACCGCGTTACCGTTTGCATGTTTCGCGTATACCGTTGTAAGGAATTTTCTCGGCATTCCTTACGGAGTCAACTACATCGCGTACAGCAACAGCCGTTGTTCGCCCGTTACTGCTAACGGGACTTCGCTGACTTCGCGCGCACCGCTTTGCCAAACCTCGCACTGCTGGCATGGCCGTATCGGCCTACGCTTCGGAACTAGCCCGAGCCTCGCTCCAGCGTAGCACTAGCAAGCTCGCACGCACCGCGTTACCGTTGTGCATGTTTCGCGTATAAATGTTCGCTCATGCCTTCGCTCACATTTTGTACTCGTTTGACACCTTAGTGCAATTCTTGCTACTTCGATTCATTGCACCCGTAACACTTGGTATCAGAGCCCCTTTCTTTCGGACCGCGCATCTCCGCACACCAGGAAATCAACTTTTGATTTTTCACTCGAAGGGACTCACGCACCTTAGCCCCTAGGAGCCGCTGTCCTCGCGTTCTCTCGTAAACGCGTGCAGCCACGACTGCGCCTAGACTAAGACGAGCCGACGCCCTTCGTCATGGCTGAGAATATCGACGTCACCACCCTCACGCAGGAGCGTTTGAACGATCTGCTGCGACAGCTGCGCGAAAGTTCCGAGGAAATCGCGGCATTGACGGCAGAACGCTCATCGCTGCAAAATGACCTCACGAGGGCACAACAAGCACAATCTCAAGCACCTGGCACTCCGATTCAACCTGCACCCTCGACATCACAACACGGGAGTGTGGGGCAACCCGCGAGCGCGGCCAGTGATGGCGTCGTCCGCCCCGACGGGGACGATGACCACGGCACGACACACCCCGGAGCGACGCATGCGGCCCCAAGTCAGCCTCGCGTCACGATTTCGGCACCAACCCACGATTCGGGACTGCCGTCACCGAGGCCGCTGAAGCCGCAGCGCCCGCCATGTTTTGACCCGAGTCAACGGGGTGGTCCTACCGTTCAGGCGTGGTTGTTCACGATGAATCTCTTCTTCGACGCCAACTACGTCTCGGAGGACTCGGCGAAGATTCGATACGCCGTGTCGCTGTTGCGAGGACCCGCCATGGACTGGTGGCGCGTCATCGTCACGAAGCCGACAGACTACGCGACACTACCGACACGGGAAGGACAAACCGGACCCTGGGCGCCGTCGTATTTCGTGGAGGTGCCCCAGTATCGCACGTGGGATGCGTGGTGCGCAGGTCTGCGCGCTCGATTTGAGCCAATTGCGGCTTCGATCGCGGCGCGGCAGAAGCTCCGCACTTGGCGCCAACTCGGTTCCGTCCAGGACTACACGAGCGGATTTCTGGCGCTATGCGAACAGGTGGGCTACATGCATGAGAGCGAGCGCATCGACCGCTACATCGGCGGCCTGAAGTAGGACATCGCTCAGGAAATCCAGCTTCGCGGCGTCACCGAATTTCAGGAAATTCTCGCTATGGCGGAGAAGCTCGACTTCTTTCGCCGACCGAGACCGGGGTCCTACGGAAACAACAACTGGGGACGTCGGCCTCGTGGGACGAACGAGAGCGCCACGATACGCGCCGTCGCCGCAAATGCCGCTGCCGCACCGTTCAAAGGGCGCTGCTTTGCGTGCAATCGGCCGGGACATCGCAAGAGCGAATGCCCGGAAAACGCTAAGGGAAAGGGGGAAGCTGAGCAGCAGACACAGACCAAGCAGCAGGGAAACGCTAGAAGTCAGTAGCAGACGGGCCCTCTACTGACAGGTCACGCCGCTCGCCCGACCCAACCGACCCTCACCGAGTGATTGTGCCGGTTCACGCAATCAACCACACCCGGCCGAATAAGGAGGGTACCACGGTAGACAGCCCTATACTGCTCAGTGGGAAAATTGGGACGGACTTAGTTAAAATCTTCGTAGATGGGGGAGCCAGCCACAGCCTCATTAACACTGCTACGGCACGAAAACTGCGACTGCCACTGGACAGATGCTTACCTGAGATCGACGCACGACTGGTAGACGGCACGCCACTGGCAATACGGGAACGCGTAGACCGAGTTCGGATTCGATGCGGGGGTAACTTCACATTCAGCCAGGAAATGCTCGCAACGACCCTCGACGGAACCGACATTTTACTCGGGCGTGATTGGCTGCGACGACACGATCCGCGAATCGACTGGACGACGGGTGACTGCACCGTGCGAGTGAACGGTAACATCATCGCCTTACCTCGCTGGGGATCGCCTGAGTCTTCGTCGGTGCGTGTCAATGCGATCACGATGAAACGCGCTGTAGCGGCCGGAGCTGACGTGTACGCGGTTGACATTCGGGAAGCCGAGGCAGCAGACAAGGGAGGGGATTTACAGAAACTGCTGACCGACGTACCGAGTGATCTGGCAGCACTGTTAACACGATACAGTGACATTTTCCCGGATGACTTACCGACGGGACTGCCACCTCAGCGACCGCACGATCACAGGATAGAACTGGAACCGGGGGCACAACCAACAGTACAGCGATTGTTCCGACTGACCCAACCCGAACTAGACGAACTAAGGAAGCAGCTCGATTACCTGCTCGAGAAAGAATTCATTCGCCCTAGCTCGTCGCCCTTCGCCGCACCAATACTATTCACACCGAAAAAGGACGGGGGATTTCGCATGTGCATAGACTACAGAGCACTGAACAGGGTTACCATCAAATCTCGTTACCCCATCCCACGAGTTGACGAACTGATCGACCAACTGCGCACAGCCCGGGTTTTCTCGAAAATTGACCTCCGGGGAGGCTACCACCAAATCCGCGTCAACCCACCCGACTGTCCTAAAACCGCATTCCGAACACGCTACGGATCTTTCGAATACACTGTCATGCCATTTGGGCTGACCAACGCCCCCGCCACGTTCCAAATGACCATGAACGAAGCATTCCGCCCACTTTTAGATAAGTGCGTCATCGTTTATCTGGACGACATACTGATTTACAGCCCCGACAGAGCACAGCACTTACAGGACATCGAAGCAGTTTTTAAAATCCTGAATGAGAACCGCCTACTGACCAAAGCATCCAAGTGTGAGTTTTTACAGGACCGCCTGGAGTTTTTGGGACATGTTATTTCAGCTGCAGGAGTGGAAATAGACCCGAAGAAAATTGCGACGATTCAGGCTTGGCACGCGCCGACCAACTTGACCGAGTTGCAGAGTTTCCTGGGGTTCGTCAACTACGTGCGCCGGTTCGTCCCCGACATGGCGAAGCTGACTGCCTCGTTGACCGACCTGCTGAGAAAGGGGGTTGAGTACACGTGGGGGGAGAAAGAGCAAGCTGCCTTCTCGGCCCTCAAAAACATTTTGTGCTCACCGCCCGTGCTTCACATCGCCGATCCACACCGTCCGTTCGAGCTCGTCACTGACGCAAGTGACATCGCTGTGGGAGCAGTACTGTTGCAGGACTTCGGGAATGGCCTCCAGCCAATCGCGTACGAGTCCCGCAAGCTACACCCGCCCGAACGCAACTACCCGATACACGACCGTGAAATGCTGGCGATCGTGCACGCGTTCAAAGTTTGGCGGTGTTACCTAACTGGCGCCGACGTGACAGTACGGACAGACCACCGTTCACTACAGTACCTTCGCGCCCAACCGAATCTCAACCCACGACAGATTCGCTGGTTGGACTATCTTGAGTCCAATTTTCACTACACCGTTACGTACAAAAAAGGAGCATCCAACATAGCCGACGCTCTCACCCGCCCCACCGCCCAACTCCACGCCATCCTACTCGCCCAGACCAACCCGCTTTTAACTGGCCTATTCACCCACGGATACCGCACCGACCCATTTTTCACGACCGGAAATTCACAGCAACTGGCAGAAGCAAAAGGAGTCTATTACGTAAAAACAGGCACCAACCGCATTTGGGTACCCGCGTACTCACTACTGAGGGAGCTGCTACTGCAGGAGGCACACGACGGGATTACCTCGGGACATTTCGGGGTAGAAAAAACACGACAGCAACTGCAGCGGTATTACTACTGGCCGGAGCTGTTGACCGACGTACAGCAGCACGTGGGCTCGTGCCCTACGTGTCAGGTGATGAAGAGTTCAAGGAAGCGGAAGGCGGGTCAATTGCAGCCGATCCCACCGCCCGAACGCGCCTGGCAGCAAGTAACCATGGACTTCGTCACAGGGTTACCTTCGAACCCTGGGGGTAACGACGCGGTGATGGTCGTCGTGGATAGACTGACGAAGATGGCACACTTCGCAGCATGCAAAAAGTCGATCTCAGCCGAGGAGACCGCTCGCCTGTTCATCGCAGCCGTTGTTCGCCTGCACGGGATACCAGCAGCGATTATAAGCGACAGGGACACGAAGTTTACCAGCAACTTCTGGAAGAACCTTTGGGAGCAGTTCGGGACCAGACTACAGTTCAGCTCGTCGTACCACCCCGAGACCGACGGCCAAACGGAGCGGACGAATCAGACGATGGAGCAGTTGATTCGTGCCACGTGCGACGACCCTACGACCTGGGAGCAGCAGCTACCGCTGATCGAGTTCGCGTACAACAACGCCACGTCAGCCACGACGTAGCAGTCCCCGT